CCACATCACCAAGCAGAACATTGCTGAGCATTTGTGTTGTTGTTAAGTTTAACAAAGTGCAGTTTCTAAATAATAGAAGTGTTAGTCATCTATGAATTCTGTATGTTATTGTCATTAGCCCGTCTACACAATCTACTATGTACTGTACAACAATGTCATGTCTCTCAAACACCACTTAACTTTCAGAAGACATTACATTGGATGTAAACAATTGATTCCAAAACATGGTGGTTTTCAGCCCATTAATCATTCTCAGCTAAAGAGAGCTCAGTGCAATTTGCTTTCAGTGTTTTATTGGGATTTCCGTGTTGAGTGAAATGCAAAGACAAAGGTGGTCTTATGGTGTATTGATTCTGTTTATGGTACATTGATTCCATTCTCGAGTATGTTCTTTTTGTTGTGCCTACTAATCTCCTAGTGAGTCTGCATCATCCTCCTGTACAGCCTCTTTTGTCTCCTCACCTTTTCCTGCCCTTCCTCTCCAACCCTTAATGCTTCTCTATTCCTTCTTCTACCTCCTTCTTCTCTCTACTGCTATCCCTCATTTTCCTTATCTTTTGGTGGTATAATGATAGCTTCTTATGTGGTCTCACAGCTCTGGGTTATTAGATCAATATAATTTCTAAAGCAATAAATGGCAGATAGTATTTGTGTGTATTTTACTCTGTATTTATTATTTTCTTTTATTTGTTTTATTACTCCCAGAACATATTAACAAGCTTACATTTTATCCTTACAGGATCAAGCTTAATTACTTTCAGGCAAGCGTCACCATCAGCCAGGGAGCAGAATAAGTAACAAAGGGGTTTTTGATTAAGACCAAAGTGTCTGTTTGGGTTTCTATTCTTTATTAGCTAATATCTGAATTCTCATGGAAACTGAAATGTATTTTTCAATAACCTCATTTTCATATGGAAGGTTAAGCTCTGCAAATCCGGGATCGTTAATATTTAGCAAGTAAAATATCACATAGAAATATGATATTGACCTTTCAACATGAGATTTTTCAGTCTAACTAAGCCTCTGAATGAGTGCATTTACATGTGTTAGTATAGTATGTGCATTTTGGTGAGGAGGGTCAGTGTGCCTCATCATATGTTTGTCTCAGCACATGCAAACATTCACAGAAAAAACTATTCCCTAAGATGATTCCTTAGCCCAGAAATATTTACTTTTAAATTGAAGACCCAGTGCTAAACAATGTAACTATGAAGGGTGAGATAAGGCATTCACCAACCTGCTTGACTTTACAGTACAACATGCCATGTACTGCAGTTGTTGTGTAACTGCTACATGATATGCAAATGTACAGATCCGCTTAAGTCATTAAGTTACACTACAAGTTTGGAGGTGCTGCATGCTTAGATATATAAAGAGTCACATGTAATTTTTTTATAAAACAAGGCGAGCAGTCATCAATGATAAATCCCACCTAACTTCATATTCACAATTACAGGATGCATCTGGAGGTACATGTAAACATTCTTCAGTTCAGCACTTTTCAGTGGATGATATATATAACTTAACTTAACATGGCATTTCATTACATGGACAAGTTTTGTTAAACCTATACTTGCTTGGTGCTGACATACAGTATATTAGCAAACCTGGCAATGAGGTGGTGGAAACAGTACAGCTGCAGACCATAAACCAGAAGGATAAGTAAAGGATGCTAAAATGCTCCAGTGAGAGAGTGATAATTCGCTATGGATGTGTCACTATGAGCTAATTCATTTAACCCATATTAATAAAAAACATACTGATTAGTGCAGCTGTAAAGGCAGAGATGTTCTGAATATTTTGAACTTGAGCATTTCGATAGACAGAATATTCGCTTATACTTTGGTCTGAGGTGGATCTATGAATATTTTTTTCATACCAGAAACACTGTCTGCTTTGCTTCCATATTGTCCATCCTTTCAGGACTACTGGTGGAAAGCGGTTCTCAAAAAATATGTGTTCAGCAGAGTATTCTTTTAATTTGTCACTTTCTATACTTTCTATAATAAGATTCTTACCAAGGACAGCACTTGAGACTAAGGCGCAAAAATTTCACTTGGCATGTGTGGTGACTCATAACTCAGCTGGGTAGTTTTCTGAGCCTCTTACTGGAGCATTGAGAGATTCAGACAAATGTGTCCTTACAGGAAATGTTTGCCTGTTGTGTGCCTAAACTCAGTTATTGTCCTTGGAGAACAGAAGTCACCATGTTTTTACAAAGGTGTTGTCAAATGCTTCCTGGTAAAAACAGCTTCACATTACATATAGAGTGTGACAGTGTGGGTAGATCATCCTGTAGAGTCACATACCTACATCATCTAAAGACATGTGTGCACTGTATTAACACTGTGTTAGTTATCATTATGTTAAAATATGGATTAGTGCATGAAGACATTTACTTTACAATGGAAGGAACATAAATAGCAGGGAAAATGAAAATGAGGAAATGAGAGACAGATTAAAACAAAAAGAATAGAAAGTGTGACAGTAAACATGGTGAATGAGAATCAGGCCCAGGCAAAAAAAAAAACAAAAAAAAAACAGAGAGAAATTGTTTTAATTATGATTATGTAAACTGCACCAGTTCTTAAAATTAAAACAATAACTAAGGATAATTAATTCTCTGTTATAATTAATAAGTAATTGGCCTACAGTCACATTTAAAAAGATAATCATACTTGTAATGCTAAAGAGATATTGTTGTTCCACCAGCTGTCTAAATCTTACTTATGCAGGATGAATGCAAAATATGTGAGTCATTATATATTCTATGTTGTTTAATTCTAAGTGTTTTATTGACATCAAGTCATAGATATAAGTATATAAAAATGAATACCATCCTGATTAATGGTCACTGTGTTTAACAGAAGAAAAAAACCCTGATTCCTAATCTATTCATGTATGTATGAATGACTGTAAGTAAAGATTCCCTATAAATAGAAAACCAATACTTCCACTATAGATACAATGCACCATATACCACAGATGAATTCATTCAGGGATGAATAACTGTTGACTGTGCAATGACAAAAACGTCATTGTCGTAGCTGATCATGTCATATATGCTTTGCTTATTGTAACCTTTTAAGCATGGATTTCTTTATATGTATTTACGTAATACATACTGTACTTGTGCAGATATGGATAAGGCTGAACTGATGGATGCATGTGTCTTCATGCTAATATGACTTGAAAGTAAAGTAACACTGTTGGCCTGTCAAACCTTAAATCTTAAAAAATGTGCAAACAGTGGGAAAAAATGGCTCATTTGCCCACTAACATCCACACACATTTTAAAAATGCTGTAAATATTTTTGCTTGATCCTTTAGTCATAAAACTTAATTAGACTAAATGTTGGCAAAACAGTCAATGCTCATTTAAAGAACAAGACAAACTGGGATACAAGGTTTTCACATACAGTACAACTGACAATGAACGAAAAATACCGCAGCCCATTCTGAATCTTATTTTTCTCTTTTCATGAATACTGATGTGAACTACAATCCATTTGCAGCCACACGTTTGCTCAGTCTGCAATTTATGATTCAAGCTGTAACTACCTCATTTGATCCCATCCTTGTTATGGTAATTTCCTCTCACAATGGTGGCAAATCAGTTTGATTTAACTGTGCAAACTGTGTGAGTGTAGGACTGTGTGTGTGTGTGTGTGTGTGGTATTTGGGAGGAGTGGTTGCTACTATAGTTGTGCTTGTGTGTCTGAGTGAGCTTAGCGTGTGTATTTATAAGTGTGTGTGTGTGTGTGTCATACAGCATCAGGTTGCCAGAGAAGTGAGACGTGTTTTTGTGCCAAAGCCAAAGCTCGCAATCTGCATTTTGATGTCATTAGCTTGCCACATCAAGCTGCTTCAGTGGTACTTTAAACTCAGATTGTGTTTTCAAGAGCACTACACAGAATATGGAATGAAAGGCTTAAAAAGCATCAAAAAGACCCTCATAATGAAATCATAAATTATTTTAGACATTGGGTGTTTAGTATTTTAAATTTTGGCGAGAACTGTTTATTTTATAATGCCAGTACAGAGATGTTGAAAAAACAAATATTGACTTATTTGCTGTTAGAGCAATCATCCTTTGTGTTTCTAAGAAGATATAATATTTTCAGCTATCCAGCCTTCACCAGTGTCGGTGCAGATGACCAAAACATCTTGTCTTCAATGTGAGACTTTCTTTACCTCTCACTCCCTTTCACAGTTTTGCCTAAACTGTACATTTTTTGACCGGAAGATGATACAGCTGTGTCCCACAGTGTGCCACTTTGAGAAACCTCAGGCCTTTTATTATTGGGAGACTGTAGTCTTTTTGTTCAAGTCAAGTCTCCTTCTTTGTTTGCACGGTGAAGTATAAATCGATGAAAACATGACTCAAGTCTAAAGTTTCAAACATTTTAGAGAAATATCAAAGTTCATTTAAGAGAGCAATTGAAGGTAATTATCTCCACCAAAAACATGCAAAGAAACCACATATTTCATAGTGCAGTGTCAAATATCGTAGAACGATAAAACTAACCTAGTAGTATTAAGTGAAAACAGTGACAAAACTAGACAGCACTCAGAGGGCACAACCTCCAACAAGAGCAACTTAGTTTCCCCATAATGCCATAAAAGCAATATTCCCATGATAGCTTGACCCTCATAATATGATTGCTTAACCATGAAAACCTACTGCTGGCTTTTGGAATGATGCTGATATCATTATTAGTTTGAAAGTTATTCAGTTCAGTTTTATTTGTAGGCTATAGCACCAATTTACAGCAGCAAGGGCATAGTAAGGTCTAGAATTTACAGTGTTATACAGTAGTAGCACTCAAGAAAAATGATAGACATGACAGACATTCACTCATTGGTTTAGGGGTAAAACATGGACTTCAGTGAGTGGACCATGAGCAAAGCGGTGAAGACGTCACATTTCTGCAAGTTTGTGTTCTACATGTTCAACAACTGTTTGATAAACTGCTCATACAGTCTCTATTACCCGGTAGGAGCGCAGCCCCTCGAGACCTACGCAGATAGAAATACAGTGAAGCAAAGTAGGATGGTCTACGTCAACTCGTGAGGTTTTGCCAGGTGACTATTAAGGTAAGCACGGTGTGTAATGCTTGTTAGGTTCTGACAGTGTAAACACAGCTATAACATACAGCTGGAACATCAGTGTCCTCACCGACAGACCAATGAGCTCTGAACAATATAATGAGCAAGCAATGAGCAATATAATGAGCTTAGATAATGAGCAATCACAACCAGACATTCAGTATATACATACAGTATATACTGTATGTCTATTTTCACAACTCCAAAAAAATAACTGATTCTGAATTGGCATTACTTGGATAAACTGAGCACATATTCTCAGTCTAAGTGGTTACTTTGTGAAAAAAAATGTCATAACGTAATAGAATGGCATAATATCAGTCCTACTGATATTATGAAATGAAAATGATAACAGTTTTGAGCCTGGCTGTAAACCTCTGCCATTAGGCTCTCGTCCAACTGTTGCTGCATAAAGTAGCTCTTTCCCCAGCTGTGTAGCCACTAGTGGGGTCCCTCTTCAGTGCTTCACAGGTGGTGGTGTCACTGAGGAGGTTGGAGAATCTGGTCTGATAGTTGGCTGAGTTTAGGACTATTGTACATCTGCCTTTGTCTGCTGGAAGGATTGTGATAGTTTCATCCTTCTCTTAAGCAGCCAAGGCCCTCCTTTCCTCAGGAGTAAGGTTTGAGGGTGGACATTTGTCATTGGCCAAAGTGGCTGTGACCTTCACCCTCAGTTCTTCCACCTCTCAGCTTGTTGTTCCTAATGGCCGACTCTGTGGCTGTGATGAAGTCTACAGGGATTTGTTTGGGTGTAACTGCAAAGTTCAATCCCTTGGCTAATACCTTTTTTTCTGTGTTTGTGAGTTCTCTGTCCAAGAGATTTTTTGTCATTGTGCAATGGGATGTCCGAGGCTGGCTGTCCATTCTGTAGTCTCTGGAATTTAACCATCTGGCGCGCCTTGCTCTTGTTGTGCTGGGTAAGTTGGGCCTTTTCCAAAAATCTTGCGATCTCTTGAAATATTTCCCTGGTAACCTTTGTAGAGAGTCTCTCCCTTAGTTGTTCTGTTTGGTCTATAAGGTTGTCTATGGTGAAGTGTATTTGTTGAATCTTTTCACTTGGGCTTGAGCTCTTCTCAGGATGTTCCCAGCCCCGTATCCTTTTACAGAAGAGCCCAGCCTCAAACTTCTGGGGAAGACGTCCTATTGGCAGCATCTTAGGTTGTAATGAAGGTGGTTTTTGTAGTCAGCCAGTTTTCTGACTGTTTTCTTGTACACATGTACCAGTCAAAGGGTGTCGTTCCCAAAGTGAGTAGCAACATGTCTGTGAATTTGGACATTCACCAAAGCAAGGAAGAGGCCCAGCACCAACAGGGAGAAACCAGAAACAAGAGGAGATAACACTGTCATCCGTTATGTGGCTGGTTTATCAGAGAAGTTAAAAGGATATTTCGCAACCACAATATACCAGTGGCAAAGACTGGCCCACCCGAAGGACAAAACACCCAGACATAAACAGAGTGATGTGGTATATGCAATTAAGTGTAGTCAGGAGTGTAACAACTTGTACATTGGTGAAACTAAGCAGCCGCTGCACAAATGCATGGCCCAACCCCAGTGGACCAGAGTCAGCAGTCCACCTCCACCTGAAGGACATAGGACATTCTTTTGAGGACAGTGAAGTCCAGATCCTATCCAGAGAACATTGCTGCTTTGAGAGAGGACTCAAGGAAGCTATTTTTGTCCAAAGAGAACATTCATTCATTCATTTTCTACCGTTAAGTCCCTGAACGGGGTCACGGGGCGGAGCCAATCCCGGCCGGCAATCGGGCGAAGGCGGGGTACACCCTGGACAGGTCGCCAATCCATCGCAGGGCAAACACATAGACGAACAACCACACACACGCACGCACATGCACTCCTATGGGCAATTAAGAGACACCAATCAACCTAAGCTGCATGTCTTTGGACTGTGGGAGGAAGCCAGAGTATCAAATAAATTGTTCTGTGAACCTAACTCTTCAAAAACTTTCATCCAAATTTGTTGATTCCTTCCTGGAGAGAACCCACGCAAGCACGGGGAGAACATGCAAACTCCACACAGAAAGGGTCCCAGGTGGGGCCCGAACCCAGAACCTTCTTGCTGTGAGGCAACAGCGCTAACCACTGCGCCACCGTGCTGCCCAAAGAGAACATCCCTCACTAAATAGGGGTGGTGGACTAAGACACAACTTGTCTTCCAACTACAACTTTGTGTTGAAATCTCTGCCCAAGCATTCCCACCCTACTTCACACCAGGACAATAGGTGTCGGTCGACAGGGGAGGATTCAAAGAAGAAGTTTTTTCAGTGTGCAGCTGTGCACTTTGGCCAAAAGGGGGGTGCATGTACAGTCAACAGCCTTCAGCGATTAATAATCATATAAACTATTCCTGTCTATAAATTATGATATGGATCAGCACCAATATCAAATCAATTGTTCTGTGACCCAAATCTGTTGATTCCTTTATAACAAACACACAAACAAACCAACAAATGCTGGCAAAAAACATAACCTCACCCATAGCAGAGAGCACAGTAAAACAGTGCCTTTCATCGAATGTGCTCATTTTTCCATAAATGATGAACTGAGTGGATCACTTTGCACTAAGTGTTGTGCAGGCTGATTAATTGAATGACAAAGGCTTCGTTCAGTACGGACAACAACTGTAACACCAATACACTAACATGAAACTGCCTCTCCAAGTTTCTGCTCCAAATTCTAGGATTGTTTGTTTTGGTTTTCTGCTAGAGCATTGCATCCCCACGTCACCACCACTGTATCCTGTATCCTGTTAAGGCAGAGCATCATGCTACCAACTAATGCTGCATGAAACTGCATGAGGAAATAGTAAAAATAAACAAATGATGCATGCGCTACACATGGTGCACTGTAAACCATGCTGCTTTTATTTTTATGTCCAGTGCAGTGCTACTTAGGCTGGGGGTGGATGGGTAGGAGGAGGTTATATTGAAAAAAAAAGTTTTCTACTGCTCAGAGCAGCTCCTTTAAAAAAACTAGAAATGGAAGAAATGAACATGAACTATTTTATTTTCAGATCTGTGAGCCTAGTTCAGAAACCAAAATTGTGAACCCTACTTTAATGTGTGTGAACTGAACTCTGAGCTAGCTCTTGTGAAGTGTGAACTTGCGCTGGGGGAGGTTATACACATACACTCACACAGACAACTTAAGTCCACAGTGCCCATGAAGGATGAAGCCTTGGTATGACCTATACTTGAAAACAACAGAATCAGCAAAGTACCCACACATTATTCTCTGTTCTTTTGAGCCATGGCCAAAAAAAAAGGTGTTAAACAATGCAGACTATTTGTTGGTGAAAGAAAGAAAGAAACAAAGGTGCATTTTCACTACCATTCTATGAACATCTCAACAACGGGCATTTAAGACATATACACACACAGGTACATATATTTATACAGTTATCCGTGTGAGGACACTCATTCATATCATGCATCCTCTAGCCCCCTACCCTAACACCTAACCACTTACCTTAACATAGCCACTAACTCTTTTACCTAACCATAACCTAATATGGAGAAGTGCTTAAACCTAACCAGCAACAGTTGGTGCCTAACCTTAACCATTAAGATCCACAGAAAAGAAAGGCCAAAATCTAACAATTCTAGAATATAAGAAAAAACATTGAAACTGCTCCTCAAAATGTACAATATAACCATGACAGTACACACATGCCTGTTTAACATGAGTAGCTGGAGACTACTAGCCCATGGTGACCTTTGAACTTTAGTCCTTGTTTCTTGATGTTGACCCTTAATGCATGTTAAAGACTTATACTGACCTATACCACATTCTATTCTGAAAATTGTGTGTGCGCGTGTGTGTGTGTGTGTCAGAAAAAGAGAGGATAAATGTGAATTTATCTTAGTTGTCTGCTGTCAGTTTTTATATTTTCATTCTCTCATGCTGGAATCACTGGAGCATGAAGCTGAGGGAAAACAAACCAGAAGGACAGTGACTGAGTTAGCAGACAAGTTCTCTCTGTGTCTGGTGAGGAGTGGGAGCTTGGAGCTGAGTCAGTGTTCTGCAGTGGCTCTGAATTGTTTTACTGTAAGCCAGTATTTTGAGGCAATGTGAACTGACAGTTTTGACAACAAACATTTTTTAAAATTGTTTGTTTTTTTGTCACTGAAACCAATAATGCTGCATTTCAAACTGACTTTGGCCTCAGCCACACATACAACCGCTCAACTCTGCATCAGCATGAGACTGTTCAGCACTGCTGGATTTGCCCCTGTGAGGCAACTCGGTTCATCGTTCTCAGTCCTTCAGCTCCACAAGCAGCAACACAGTCATCTATCACCATTTCAGACCACATGATTGTCAGGTACTGCCTATCCTGTTCTGATCACTACTGTCAGCATATACTAGATCTCCAGTACATTTTGTGATGTGTCAGTATGCTCTTAATGCACCCACTGCTGCTCTTGTCATCAGCAAGACATAATAATGGAGGGAGGAAAGTGAGACAGTACATAGCTGTCCTTTCCTCAAACTCAGCATGATAATAAAGCATGAGTTTTGATAAAGCATTGTAATTTTTCAGGTAGTCCTGTGTGCACAAAAACAACAAACAGATTATAAAGGAAAAGAAGCCTCTACATGGCCCCATGTCTGACAGGGTTTCCCTCTGAGTCTGTGTGAAATAGTAGGTGGTAGCTGGAAAAATGCAATGTGTTCACACAGTGAAGTACCTCTGTGCAGCACTTACGTAAGTTCTAAATCAGGCCCAGAAAGCCTGCTCACTTAACTCTGAACACTTTACACTGACACAAGCAAGAAAAGTGATTTCTCATCCTGAAACTCAGGTTTAAGGTATTTATCTCACATGGGGGCTCAAGCACATGATCACATCTCTGCTTGTTACCTGCAAAACCTCTCTCTTAGATCTAGATCTTTAGTACAAAAATCACACAAAGAAATAAAGAAAAACTGCTGCAACAAGTCTGGCTTTTTAACTTTTGCATTGC